GCACACCTGGGCATCTCCCATCCAACCTTTGCTGCGGGGAGGGAGCTCGGCAGTTCTCACATTCAAAGGGTGTTTCCGTGAATGGGATCCAGATGCCTTGCTGATTCAGCCCATTTAGTTAATGTAAACGGATTTCAGGGGCTGCCCCGGAAGCCCTTCCTGGGAAGTTTCCTCCTGTGGGGTCTGCATTTGCCACCCAGCCCGTGTCTAGGCTACTCCCCTGAGTGTGATAGCGGTGAGGATGAGGGTGATGAGAGTGGTAATGGTGATGGTGGTGATGGTGGTGATTATGGTGGTGATGTGTGCGTTCGTATGTGCCTGAACTGTGTACTTACATGTCCACGTGGTGGTAAAGGCACTTAGGAGCAGAAACTGTTGTGTATGATCACATCCTCTTTGTGGAAGCAGATTTGTGTGAGGTTAACTGCACACCATTGCTTATTCTCTAAAGCTTGTAGCATTTGTCTGGGGGACCCTATTAAGACATATAATTTCTGTAGGTCAGGCCTGCAGCAGTTGTTCATGGGAGCTGATCTCCTACTCCAGGCCTTACACATTTGATGTCCTGACATTTCATGTAATTGCTCTGCTAGAGCCCACTTGGCACATTGAAAGCTACTTAAAATGTCATTATAAGCCGGCCGGATCTCGGAATTACATGGTGCGGCAGCCGGAACAGAGCGTCTCACTTTGATGCATGTGGTATTTGATTGTGCTCTGCGCCACGGTCCCTCCAGTCCGCCAGGGCTGGCTACACTCTTTAAAGAGGATTTCCTCATTTCTCCTCATCTTCAGAGGACTGACAGTGGGCGCCTCTGAGCTGACTCACTGTGGTCAGCCGCAGTTAGCGGGAGATGATCGCTGACACGAGTTAATTGCTCTCCTCCTAAGTGGTCAGCCGCTTAGCATCTACCATTGTAACCTGTGGGTTTTTAGTTATTTCTCACTAATGGTAATCTGAAAAGCTTCCTTTTTGGATGAGAGGAGACAACTTTAGGAATTATATTTTATGATACCATTTTGAAGATGGATGTGTCTTATTATAGTTAGAGAGGCCCCCGTTCTCTGGTCTTTATCTTAAAGAACGTGAGTGTTTTCACGCTGCAGGTCTGTTTCTGCTCTTCCCTCCAAATAAGGAGAATAGAGCTGAGGGAAGTTAAGGGAAAGGACATGAGGTAACTGTAGGGAGGGTTTCTCTGAGTCATTAAATGTCAGCACAGATTATTGGAGGAGGGGCACAACTTCCCCTTAGCTATTTGGTTATTAGACGTGGTAGACAGTCTAAACATTTGATTTCGTTTTCTCAATAACCCCTTCAAGTGGGAGTTACTGACCCATCTACACAGACAGACCCCGAGACTGGAGCCTGGGTGTGGCTGGCTGCAGAGCACACTTTGTCCAGATCGTGACCCCCTGTTTGTGGTGGGTCTTTTAGGATTTCTGACTTGCCCTGTGTTTGACCAACATCCTTCCTGCCCTGGGTTGCATAAAACAAAACATCGCCCTGTGGGATGCTTTGAGGGGCTGCCGAGAGCCTCCACCCCTGCCCAGGCTCCCCCAACGTTGGGAGCTGACCTCACACAGCTCCTCCAGCTTTGCTGTCTGTTGTCACCCACCTGGGCTCTGTTCCGTCCCCTGAACCTCACATCCGGTCCATCTGGACCTGCCATAGAAACACATAGGCTCCCGCCAGCTCTGCCTGCTGCACCGCCATCCCCAGCTGGGTTCCTGCAGGAGCCGCCTCCGGCCTCCCGGCTCTGACCTTGTCTCAAGCCTGCAGGCCTCTTAAAATTGTAAACCAGATGACGACTCACTGCTCAAAACCCAGCAAGGGCTTCTCATCCCACTCAGCAAAAATCCAGGTCCTTTTCATGGTCTGAGACCCTGTAAAGTGCCCCCGACTTTCACGCCCCACTTGTTGCTCCAGGTCACCCACTCTGGCCGCTCCAGGTCACCCACTCTGGCCGCCTTCCTTCCTTCCAGTGCTCCTGCCCCAGGGCCTTTGCGCTTGCTGTGTCCTCTGCCCGCAGAGCGTTTCCTTAAGATAGTCCCTGGGCTCAGGACTTCCCTTCTTTGGGTCTCTGAGCTTTTCTCCGACAATCCTGTCTAACGCAGCATCGTCCCTCCCCACTGCCCCATCCTCCACGCTCTGCATTATTGTTCCCACAGCCCCGTCACCACCAGACATTGTATGTGTTTGTTTTTAATTGTTTATTTTGTTTCTTCTACTATAGATGAACGTTCCGTGGAAGCAAGTGCTTTGCTAACTGCATTATTCCTGCACCTTGACAGGTAGCTGAGCACAGAAAACGTGCAGCGAACATTTGTGGAAGGAAGGAAAGAACGAAGGGTGGGAGGAGAGTTCCTGCTCTTGAGCTCTGCCGTTTAGGTTTGAGACCCTCTGGGAGGCCTGAATCCCTCACTGATTATCCACCTCCCTCGTGACCTGGAATGTGTGTCTCCCACCCAGGCAGCCTGAGAGCAGCTGGGGGGAGGGGCGTGTGTGGGCAAAAAGGTCACAGGGCGGCGACAGGCCCTGGCCCCCTGCACAGAGGACAGCACCAGGGCGTCAGCAGATGCGGACCCGGCCGCCCACAGGCCAGGCCGTGCCCAGGAGAGTCCGCCTGCTTCAGCCACAGTTCGGTCTGCGGCGACTTGCTACCCAGGGTCTGAACTGTCACCCTGACACCCGTGTGCCCCCATTCGCATGACGGTTCTAGCGCAGTAATCCCACTGGTCCTGTTCCTAAATCTGGAATCGGAGAGAAAGTGGACTCTTAGAAGGACATGTTCTGGACCCCTTGAAACCGGCCAACAGTGTGACTCAGGGGCTTAACCGCGAGGTGGTGAAACATCCTCGCAGGGCCCAGTCGGGGCAGGGAGTCCACCTTGGACCCTTGTTAGGAGGGACACAGCTCTGCGTTGAGGATGGTCCAGCGGAGAACAGGAGCAGATCCTCGGTGAACCAAGGCCCTGGGGAATGGAGCGTTCTCCCCAGCTGAATTTCCTGGTTAAGTTTGCGTTCCGCAGAAACACATTTTGGATTCAACACTTGTTAAAAAACGTCTCGTAAATGTACTGATCCATTTCCTTTGCCTTGGTCGGTGTCCTGGGACGCCATGGTGAGTCCTGCCATGCTGTGGCCCCTGGCAGGGACCACGCCTGCAGGGGCCAAGCCTCGGCCTCTAGTTGCAGGGCATTGCGTTTCCTCACCTTTTAGGCCATGGCTGCGACAGTACAGACCACTGAAAGTTGATGTGTCTATAATGCTAGAGGCTTAATAAACAGCTAGGTGTTGTTTCTCTTACTGTTTACTCTACCTTAGTTTTTCTCTTTTCTACGAAGCAACCTGTGCCCTTTGTCGTCCCAGAGAAGCAGGAATTCTGACGCTGTGTGGGGTTGGGGTCCCTCAAGCCTTCAGCCTCCTGCCCTGGTCTGGGTCAGGCTTGCTTCTCTGTTTCTACAATGTTTCTGTTTATGAGGAAGTGAGAAATATTTTTCCAGGTTCACTGCTGGAAGGCAAGCGTTTGGTCCCTAAACGTGTCTACGGGGCTGTGGGGGGAGGGATGCAGGGGGAGGTGGGGATGCAGGGGGGCAGTGCCCTCCCCAGGGGCTCAGGTCGGGGTCAAGGACCACGGAGGCAGCAGCCACAGGGAAGTCATCCGTCTGCATTTCCTTCCACGGGAAGCTGTTTCAAAGTGCAGGTTTTATTACCGTTCAGGTGTGGTGAGACCAACAGATCAGGAGAGGGTTATCGTGAAAAAGGTTGTTTCCCAGAGGCGGGGGCCACCCGGGGAAGCACCAGGCTGGTGACGGGGCAGAGGGAGGGGAGCTGTAGGCAGGGCCTTTCTGTGGGTTTGCAGGAAGGAGCAGGCGAGGCAGCACCGGCTGGTGTGAATAACGTCAGCGGCTCCGGGGCAGAGGGGCAGCCCCTAGTTGTTGGGACCCGGGCCCGGGGTGCGCAGGGCAGGGGGCCAGTCGCCTGGGGGCGGGGCGGGGCTCTGGGTTGGTTGGTTGGCATTTGGAAGCAGCGTCTGCTGTCTGTACATGTGGGCGGCCCCGGGAACGTCAGTCTCTCCGGGACCGGCGAGGCCCAGAGGTCAGAGCCTCAGGAGCTCCTGGTTGACACGGAATCAAGGCCGGGGCTGTCACCACCCTGCAGCAAACCTTGTGGGGGACTCCGGGCCACCCCACTGCTCTCCAGCCAGCAGAGCTTTTCCTAGCATCTCCTGCACTGCAGGTCCAGGGTGAGGGACCATCGTAACTCTTTTCTTTTCAATAATATGAAAATGTCTTTCTTCCACTCTCACGTCTGAAGGATATTTTTGCTGTGTAATCTAGACTTCTGAATTAGACACCTTTTCTTTTAGTGGTTCAGATGCATCCTCATATGTAAATGATCCAGTGTGTACTTGTGTATCATGTCACGTATGTCGTGCTTACAGGGCGCTGGGTGTGTCCTGGGGCACCGCCGTCCTGGCCCCGCCTCTGGCCGATTTAGCGTCTCCTCCACCTCGGTTCTCTGTGCGGCCTTGTGAGCTCGGCTGGGAGCGGCCGTCGTGTGGCTCTCCGAGTGCCTCGAATCTCTGAGTTAATGCTCTTCACCGATTTCAGGGCATTTGTGGAGGTTGTTTTCTTTTCTTTGTCCCCTTCTCTCTCTCCTTTCCCTCTCAGACCCAGTCACACTCGTGGCGCCGGAAGCTGTACCACGTTGCCAAGGTGTGGCCAGTCCTTTCTCCCTGTTCCACGGATGAGAATCGTTTCCATTGTTTGTCCTCAAATTCACCAGCTCTTTGTTCTCCATCATCCAATCTGCGGTTAAGCCCATCCAGGGAGCTTTTAAATTTCAAATACTGAACGCTTCACTTGCAGAATTCCATTTGGCCCTTTTTTGCTCCCGTCCCTCTGCTGCGCTCACCGTTGCCACCCATCTGCATCCTTGTGTCCTTGTTCTAACGCTGTCCCTTGTCTCGGTTTGTCTGTTTCGTGTGTGCCGTCTAGGGGCACGTGTTCAGGCTCTGCTGAAGGACCTGCGGGAGCGCCCAGGCAGCGTGGAGGGTCTGAGCGCCCTCGATGTGGCCGAGGCAGGCCGTGCGATAGCGAGCGCGATGCCAGGCGGGCGCGCGGAAGGGGAGCAGGACGGCGCCGGGAGAGGCGGCGGAGGGCCGAGAGGCCAGGCGGGCCGCTCGGGGGCCGTGCGCCACAGAGACGGCGTGCCAGGTGAGTGCCTCCCGGCCGCTCGCCGCGTGTGCGCATGGTGCGCTGGGCTGCATTCTTTCTGCTGCGAGGTGGGATTCATGTTAACGATTTGTGTCTGTCTGAACTTTTGCCTCTGAAAGCCTCCTCCGCAGGCTGAGCCTTCCAGAGCACGTACGCTGAAGGGCGAATTGCTCTGTGGAGGAGGGGGCTGTGATGCCTCCGGGTGAGGTTCCGGGTGAGCAAAAACAGGAGAGAAAGAGGTTTTGTCCGGACTGTGTGAGCGAGTACAACATGGAGGCAAACATTTGAATAATAAAGTGAAAGAGGTTCATTCAAATGTCTGCTTGAGGCCACACCAGCCTCTGGGGCTGCTCCAGGGAGAAAGCAGAGATCCCCACCCCCTGGCACACGCCCACTGGCGCACACTGACACACACACACACAGACACGCTCACACCCCGGCGCATGCATGCTCACACACTCACACACACACACAGAGATACACTCACACCCCGGCACATGCACTCACACACACACACACACACAGAGACACACTCACACCCCGGCACATGCACACTCACACACATCCCAACATTCACACTCACACACGCTCACACACCCCAACCCACTCACATACATGCACCCACTAACAGCCGCCAGGGAGCCTTGTGCGAGGGCCGAGCAGGGCAGGCCCTGTCTCCCCGCCTGACCGCTTCTCAGAGTTGCGGAAGCTACATTGAAGCATGTAACGCAGTGCGCTGCACACAGTAGGCACCCAGGAGCATGCCAGGTGGAAGGTGCATGTCTCGCCCTCCTCTGTGGGCTGGGACGAGGCTTGCCTGGAAGCTGGAAGCGTGGCTTGACCGATGCAGGAAAAGATGCTGGGCTGCTACTCGGACGAGCTGGTCCCTGTCCGGGGCTGGGAGTGTCTGCAGGAGCACAGGAGCCACCCCGACTCCTGCGTGTGTCTTCAGAGGAGTGGCCACCACGGGAAAGTACCCAGTCTGGAGGCATCTCGGCATGAGGTGTGTGGGTCGACGCTTCACTTTCCTTTCTGTAACTGCGCGCTGCGCCTGGCCCAGCGGCTCTTTCTGCTCTGAGCTACCTGAGGATAATACGTGGCTCCCTGGAACTGGCATCGCGACTGACTGACTGACTTCGTGTCTGAGTTAGTGTGTCAGCCCTCCTCTGTCGTGGACTTTACGGAGCGCCACCTCTGTACTGTAAGCGGAGGCTTTCGTTGTCGTGGGAATGAGGCCAGCTTCACTGTGCCTGACCTACTCGGTGGCCACCCTGTATGTCCTGTGACCTTTGTGCTGACATGCTGGACCGGAATTTTTTTTTTCTCATCTTTATTGGAGTATAATTGCTTTACAATGGCGTGTTAGTTTCTGCTTTATAACAAAGTGAATCAGTTATACATATACATGTGTTCCCATATCTCTTCCCTCTTGCGTCTCCCTCCCTCCCACCCTCCCCGTCCCACCCCTCTAGGTGGTCACAAAGCACTGAGCTGATCTCCCTGTGCTATGCGGCTGCTTCCCACTAGCTATCTGCCTTACCTTTGCTAGTGTATATATGTTGGGCCAGGATTTTGATGAGCTCGTGTCTTTCACAGATAACAGAGTGCGAGACGGCGGTGCAGGATTTTACCAGGAGGTAAGATGGGGCGTGTTCGGGTCCTGTGAAACCCAGAGTCGCGTTAGTTTTCTTGTCCATAGTTTGGGAACGTACGTGAAATACAAAAAAAATTTTTTCCAGAAAAAGATAGAAAAACCCTCATAATCTCAAATTAATATTCCTCAGAACCACCCCCCACCCACCCAGGGAAATGGGAGGACAACACCGCCTGATAAGACTTCACACCCACTTTGTGTCGTTGAGGTCGTCCCGCGTGGCCTGGTTTCTGAGGCTCATTTAACGGACGTTCACAGGCTCTGGACCATGTACAGCCACGGCGCTGTCCATGGTGGAGCCACCAGCCATGTGTGGCTGCTTGAACTTAAACCCGTTAAAATTAAGTCCATGAGACTTCAGTTCCCCGGCTGTGCCAGCCACACGCCCCACGCTCCCTAGTAACTGGGGGGGTGGGGAGACCACTGCTCCTCTGTCGTTGCCAAGGGGCCCCTCGACAGTGTGCTGGGCCAGAGGGGTCTGGAAGGGGCTGATGCGTGTGCAGGTGTGCGCACACGTCCACCCACGGAGCGCTGTGTTGGTTTTCCCTGTTGGAGAACTTTTGCTCATTTGTATTAGTCTTAAGGAGGCAGAAAATCAGTTCATAAGCAATGGCAGTGATGTGGTTCTACGAAACTCTATTTTGTGGGTGGAAAAGAAGAATTTCTGGTTAGTACTTCTCTTGTCAGATTATGTTAGTGGTTCCTGGTTCAGTGCCTGTTAGCACGTGGTGAAGCAAACACCAACAATTCTTTGACATGTCCATCAGAAATAAAAAGTGGAGGGTTCGGCTGTCCGAGTTGCAGAGGGAGCCATGGGGTCTAGGGACACGTTTCTAATTTGGGACGCAGAGGGAGAGGCCAGCAGAGCTTGGGCTCTCCAGACGACATGCATTCGGCCGGACGCCGAATTTGCCCCGTGTGGCCCACTCCCGCCCCAGGCTCACGTACGCCAGTGCCCGCTCCCCCGAGAGTCTGGTGCTGATGCCTCTCTGTGACTTGGGGCACATTCTTAGGCTGGTTTCCTTTCTGCCAGGTCAGCCGTTTGGGCGTCAAACTCGGGGACCTCCTGCAGGGTCCTGGGTCTCCATTCCTGCCTGGAGCCCCCCATCTTGCCGGGTCTTTCAAGACGGAGATCAAGAAATCGGAGGACCCTGAGGCCTCCCCATCTTCAGAGGAGGATCGCGTTGGGGTGGAGAACATAAAGAGTCAGACCTACTCCAAGGAGCTGCTGCAAAGGCCGCTGCACCCGGAGCCGGGGCCGGGCGGACTTGGGGCATCGCAGCTCTGGGCTCCGGCGGCCCCGCAGGAGGACCAGCGCCCCGGCGCCGGGGCCCGGGGACCCCCCGGCCCAGGCCTGCGGCTGGAAGTCCAACCTCCCCAGGAGGAGTACGGCTACATTGTGACGGAAAACGAGTGAGTGGGAGCTTTTCATCTCTCTGTGGGTGAGATCCTGGCCCTGCGCAGGCTGGGGAAACGCTTTCATATTTTTCCCCATCTTCACCTGGAGGTGGAGGGTGGGCATCCCTAGTCTTGCAGGTGTGGGAGGGCAGCCAGGAACCAGCCGTCCCCCTGACTCCGTGTTCTGGACCGGGAACCCGAGCTTCAGGGTGATTCTCCACCAAATAAACCCCAAACAAAGCCCTGCCTGGCTCCTTGGTCCTGGCGCCATCACCTGCAGCTCAGGCCACAGGGTGCCTGTTGGAGCTGGAGCCGGGGTGTCTCAGGCAGGATGGGCGGTGCAAGGGGCGCCCCGGGCAGCCCACATTGGCTAGAACTCCAGAAGCTTCAAGTCGTCCGTATACTAGGGTATGAGTCACTCTTCCGAGGGAAAAACGTGCCGCCCACCATGGAGTGTTCTGTCCTCTCCTTAATTTTGCGCTGAGCGCAACAAGGGACAGAATCAATGTCACGTGCCCAGCAAGTGACAGGTGGTCGGCCTTGTTCTTCAGGTCATCTCACTAATGAACCTGACGTTTGACGCTTCGTAACGGTGCGTTTCCTTCAAGGAATGGAAGTGGGGATTCCAAGGGAAAACACGTGTGTCTGGCTGCACGCACAGGCGTGCGTGTGTGTGCAGGTGTGCGCTGGTGCGTGTGCAGGTGTGCGCACACGTCCACCCGCGGTTTTGCTTCTGCATCATCCTGTGCCTCTGGTCAGGCGTCGAGTGTGCTTCAGTGGTTACTCCCCGTGGGGAGGGGCTCCGTCAGAGCGGGAACCGTCTCTCCTGCTGACTCCGCGGCCTCTGCGCTCTCGCCTCCGCGCGCGTTCACCGTCGCTGCACCGCACACGGCAAACCCAGACGCTGTGTCAAGGCCCCGTGAAGCTGAAGGTGGTGTCTCGCCTGGGTTTGGAGGCTTCTGCAGCACTGACGCCTCGTTTCTCCAGCCTTTTCATGAAGATGCGCCTGCCCGTTCCGGCCTCCACATCTCCGGGCCGTGTTCCTCGCACCCTGTCTGCCTTGAGCCCCTTTGCTCAGAACTGGAACTCCCGCTGGGTGTGTCAGAGTCACACGTGACCCAGCGCGCACGGGGGCCTGGATGGTGCTGTTGCGTCAGACCCTTCCAGCAGCCTGCTGCCCGGTCTGACCTGTGCCGTGGGTTTTCCCTTTCTCAGCAGACATTGCTCTCGTGTGTGTGTGTGTGTGTGACGTGTATGTGTATTGTATGTTTCTGTGTGTGTGTCTGTGTGTATCTGTGTTGTGTGCACATGGCTGTGTATATTTGTGTATGTGTGCATGTATGTATACACGGGTGCACATGTATGTGTTGTGTGTGGGATGTATGTGTCTGTGTGTGGTTGTGTGTGTGCATGTGTGTATGCGTTTGTGCATACGTGTGTCTGTGCATGTGTGTGTAGTATGTACGTGTTCCTGTGTGTGTGTGTGTGTGTGTGCATCTCTGTGTTGTGTGTGTGTGCGTGGTCAATGGAGGGACCCCTGTGCAGCTGCTCTGAGCACCTTTCCTCCCGCCAGGATGTCCTGATGCCCGGACCAGGAGGGCTGGTCCCCGGCGCAGGGTACAGGGCTGCTCCTGTCTGGGGCCTGGGGCTTAGCTGCGCACACAGGAGACCGAGGCCCCATGGAAGTGCTGGGAAAGGATTCTGATCATTGGGAAGACTTTTCGAGTCTGCGTGAACAACGGAGAACAGAGGATGATGAACTTTAGAGCAGGACCATCCAGGCCTACCGTTCTCAGCATCACAGGAAACCCAGCGTGAGTGGACGACACCTGGATGGAGGGAGACCCATCTCGTCGGGTGTCTCCTCCTGTTCTTGCTGACTTTCCTGTAACGCGAAGCCACTTCTGAGCGTTTCTTCTCTGCGTCCAGAGTTCCTTTTCCTGAGGGCTTTTCCTTGGCCTCAGCTTTGGGGCCTGGACGCTTACCTGCTACAAGCGCGGGTTAAAGAAAAGGATCATTATCTTATCTTGGCCGATTTCCCGTCTTCTCTTTTGCTGTTTCTGTCGGATGGAAGCTCTGTGGTGCAGCCGACAGCCTTATGTCCAGAACTCCCTGTGTGTCACAGGGGAGACCTGCTCCAGAAACGTCTCCCACCCTCCCTCCACGGACGGACGGAGGCTTCTGCCTCTGTTGTCAGAGTAACTGGTAACTTGGGATTCTCGGGGGCAAGATTTCCCCAGATCTCAGTTTAAGCCTTAATGGATCAACTATTTACTGACCGGAATCCGACACTGTTCTTTTCTTCTCTTTATTTTAGTTGCTTGGTTCTTCCTGAAAGGAGGAGGAGCGTGCCGTCTCCTCCCTGACGTTGGCAGGCATGGCGCGGCTGGCCTCGCGCGTCCATTTCCTGGTGGGCGGGGCTGTCGTTTAATCCTTTGCCACTTGCATTTTCATCCTCTCTACAAACTGGATGGATTATTCAAGACGCGTGAAGGGCAGGGCAGCCATCCCAGGTCCTCCGAGGACGATTTAAACGTAATTTCAAGTTAGGTTGGCAGGAAGTGACCACGGGACGGAGGCTGCATGTGAAGCAGAGGGGACGCTCACCCGTCAGTAGAGGCCAAGCCGCTTTTACAGCTGAAAACCTGGGAGCTATGAGGTGTGCTGGGCAGGGACGCCCCCCTAAGGAGACGAGCCCTCGTGTCCTGCAGGGACCTGTTCCTGTACAGGGGTCGTCCGAGCCGCGCAGACCGAGTTTGCGTGAGCACGTGCCGCGGCCCCCGCGCCCTCACGGATCACCTGGAGCCCCCAAGGTGGGGCGAAGCCCGGGTCCCACTGGTGGCTGCCCCCTGGGGCTCAGTGCAGAGGCCGCGGAGGCCGCCTCGGGGTGGGAATCCCACAGCGGCAGATGACCCGGGTCGTGGCGGCGGCGGCGCGGGAACGCATGGGGGGGCGCGCTCACCAGATCGGGGCGTCAGCTGCAGCGCTCGCCGCGGGGAGGCTGCCCCCGGCGAGAAGCGGAGCAAAGGCTGTGGGTCGGGGGAGGCTGTCAGGAGGGCGCCCAGGGGCGTCGGGCCGCGCTGCGCCCTCCCTCCTCCGGGCAAGGGTAGGGCCTGGGCAGTGGAGTCTGGAAGAAGGGGCCCCTTTGGGCAAGGCCTCGGGAGCGTGTGCCGCCCCAGGCCTGTGCACCAGGCTGCCCTGCCGGGCCGGGTGCCGTCCTTCTCCTCTCAGACACCTGCCGCTCGAGCCCTCGGGGAAGCCTGCCCGCCCTCCGCCACCCCTCACCACAGTGGGAGAGCCGCCAGCGCTGGCAGCCGGGCGGGGGGGGGGGGGCGGGAAGGGGGGCTCCGCTCAGCCGCGGGAGGGGGGTGTCCAGCCCTGGTCTCCCTCCACCCTCCACCCCGCCCCGCCCCGCCCGAGCAGCCCCTCAGAGCTCACGTGGCTGCTTCTGTGCTCGTGGGCAGCCAGGAGTGGGTCCTGCCCATCTCTGCGGTTTCTCCCTCCAGAATGTCGGGGGGCGGTTCTGTGTATACGGTGGCAGCGCAGACTGTAGTTACTCGGCGCCACTCTCAGGCCGTGTCTCGATGACGTGTTCAGGCGTGGCCGCATCTCTGTGCGGAACCTTCCTGGACAGCCCTCCCACGACACCATCCGTCCTTTCGTTTGTTTGTCTTTAAAAGACGGGCTTCGGTTTGATGGGTTTACTATCACTTAAGATTGGCGGGGGCGGGGGGATGCCGTAAGGAGTGAAAATAATCATTCTTTGTGTATTAAAAAATGGTAAGAAAAAGAAACAAAAAATATCCCAAATCGAAAATTCTTGACTGCATAGTTGGTAGTTCTGGGAACTGTCAGTGAGAAGAACGGTGAACAGTGGTCTTCAGGCCCCAGAGGGTGGCCCAGTTCTGCCTTGTCTGTTTCCTGCTGGCCCTTCTGGACTTGGCGCCCCAGCTGTGAAATGGGACGAGTGTCGAGGACCCACAATGACTGAGACACAGGAGGTGCTCACAAAAGGAAAGAGATCCAGACGTAACACGGTGTAATTTTTCCCCTGAGGCAGTCAGACATATCTCTGTTCAGCTTGGTGGGTTGTTTTGAAATTCAGCTGAGGAAAGTACAAAAGTAGGCTGTGAGATTCAGACACCCCGGGGTGTCTGTGTTGTTAATGGAGGCGTAAGCAGTGTTAGCCGGGTGGGTCCCCACACCCGCGATCCCGTGTCACAGCTCGAAACAGATCTTTACCTGTAAACGTCTCACCCCGACCCAGCTCTCTCCACGTCGCTCTCCTCGTACTGGTTGCAGGAGCCCAGGGACGGCGCTCAGCCCACCCCCGCCCGCTTCCTCTGCCGTCACCTGGGGTGAGGTACCTCCCTCCCCGCCCCCAGCTGACCGGCTCCTCTCCTGTCCTGGAGGCTCTGCCCACGCTGACGCTGCCGTTTCCACGCCAGCCTTGCCCCTGCAGGACCCCTCCCAGGTCTCCCCGCATCCCCTCCAAACTTCCCCCTCAGGAGAGCGCTCCGTAACCTAAACGTGACCGTGTCATTCTGTCCCCGACGACGACGGCCTTGCCCAGGCCTGGGCCCTGCAGCTCCATTTCCCTCCCCAGCCTGCTTCCTTTCCGCTCTGGAACGTGAGGGGTCCTGACAGGAGGCCTTGGGTTTGCTCCTGGCCCAGCACGCTCAGATGCCACCTCCTCCAGGCAGCTCTCCTTGGTCAGGGTCCCTCCTCCAGGGCGCCGCCCTCCCCTCAGAACCTTACCTGGAGGTGGAATGACACACCCTGTGGGGTTCTTCCGCTTCGAGCAGGGGCCGCACCAGCAGTTGCTCAGCTGCGTCCCAGCCCCTGGCGCCTGGCTCCTCCAAAGGCGCTGGTGGCCTGCGGTGCTTTCCTTCCCCCTCGCACCCTCTGCAGTCCCCCACCTGCTTTCCCCGCACGCGTCCCTCCCTTCCTGATGTAGCCCCAGTGCTGCTGTAAGATCACGCAGGCTCCCCGGCTCGAGGCCCTCACCCGTCCAC